GCTGTAAGTTGATCTTCCACCAAGGCATCGTTTGCCGCATCGCTGTTTCCGCACAGGTTTAACGAAAAGCATGGCTAACAGACATTGACCTATAGAAAAACCGGTGACGCGTGTTCCAACACCATGCCCAACACTCTGAACCCCTACATGACGCAAGAAACACATGATAAGGCTGGTGTATGCTGGAACGGCAATCAGTTCTACGTTTTGACCGTCGGTACCTACCGAGTCGACGTGCAAGCCGATACGCCTGGTCTCCCAGACTCTGACCCGCCCTTCCAGCTGATGGCGGGTGCCACCCACGACGTGCTCGACGGCAAGAATTGGGGTGGTATTACCTTGGAAGATATTGTCATCAGCTCATACGGCGGCTATTTGAACAACGGGAATCGAAATGGCTACACCGTCTCCCTGGACGATAGTGCCGGAGGCGTGGATCAGCTCATGTGGACCGGAGGCGTCCAGACACCCGGTTTCTTTTCCCTCCCTGTATGCACGAGTCTGTGGAATACACTGATGAACATTGCTGGAAGTCAGGTTGGGAAGGACAACTACCCATGCGGGGTGGTAGTCGAGAAGACGTACCCGGCTACATAATTAAAGTTGCAGGCAGGTGTCGCTCACTCTACATTATCATAATACTGCTTTGTATATAGTTCTTGTGTTAAATACACAACTGTAAATAAGAAGGATTGTTGCGAAATGTATCCGGGCCTTTTATGCCGTAAACTGCTGGATAAAATCAATACATCCGGACCCAGCCTATCTCAGTTTTCCGCTCTATTGAGAAACCGTTCACAGGTGGATATACACGGCAATAGACCTAGTCTTTAGTCATTATGTGATTATGTCTATGACAATGACAAGTCTTCAAATGCCAGCGACCCAACTATTCAAATTATTCTCTTCTCAGATAAAAATACATCGTATTATAGTCTTAGGACATCGTATTGCGAGATTTAACAGCACCTTGTTACAGTCTCTTAACTATAATAGCCAAAGTTCCGCCAAGTATTGTGTCCCAAGTTTTATACATCTAGTGAAAGTCCACCAATCATCATCTCTCAGGGTAATATTTCATCCACAACAAAAAAGCTTTGTATAAGAAATCTTGCAACAGAACGTGACCCATTCGCGCTTACAAGTAGCCAGCCATGCCACCACAAATGTCAACAGACTCGTAGTTGAGGCCAAAGTTAACCGTCTCAGGGATGATTCGATAGTAAAAGTTGGCAGTGTGGTCAGTCTTGACGAAGCCAATGAGATCGTGAAGGCTGCAGCAGCTGGCACGGGTGTTCCAGTAGGTAGCAAGACGCTGGGAAATCTCAATTTGATGAGCGCGAGTGAGCTTGGATTGGAGACGGGTGGTGTAAGCGATCTTGAAGCCAGGGGCAGATGCACGCTTCTCCATACGCTTGGTGATGGGCTCCTGCTCCTCATCGAAGGGAAGGTAGATGTGACCCTCGCCGTCGCCAAAGTCGTAGACGTCCAGATTCAGAGTGGTGTTGAGGAAGTTGAGACCGTGGACGCTGGCGACAGACTGAGGGGTACGCTCGTCAGAGTCATAGCGAGCGAGCAGGTGGGGGGTAGCGTCGGTTATTGATTGGAAGGTAGAGCCATCGGCGGCAAGCTCCCGGGTGAGGAAGTCGACGAGGGACTCAGTGCTGCCATCACGGGCGGAGATGGCACCGGATCTCTGCAGGATCAGGAAGATGCTTGCAACACCGGCGGCGATGGCGCTGGCAAGAGTGTCGCATTCACGCCCGTTGATACGTCTGCAAACGTACAGGGCAGTGAGGCCACCGGTGGTGGCATACACGGCGACCTCGCTGCTGGTGCCGATCTGCTCAATGACAGTTGAGAGAGTCGAGCACTCTGCACGGGCAGTCAGAGGAGAGACAGGACTCATGCCCACTTCACGAACCTCCAGAGCTGTGACATCGCTGACCACAGGATGAGCGATGGCGCTGCCCAGCAGAGATGCGAGAATTGGGAGAAAGAACATTCTGAAGTGATAAGATTGGAAGATAAAGGGATGATTTGAAAGCCTTGGCTTGGTAGAGTCTGTCTGAGTTGAGATTGTGACCCTTGGAGTAGGTAGGTCATTGCTTTTATAACTTTTAGATCAATTCATAGCAATACCAAAGTTCCGCCCGCATCGTGTCAGCTCACAATATCAGCATCGAGACAATCCTCCTCAGGTATTGAGGTGTAAGTCCCACACTTACAGGCAGTCACAGAAGATAACCTGCATGCTTACTAGTAACGGATAGTCCTGCAAGGGGCAGTTGAAGTTCTAGTTGCTCAAAGTCAGGAGATGATCCATGTTTCCCCGCCGAAAAGTAGTCGGGTGCTGCCGACTAGCCGCTGACCACATAGAGACCCGGTTTAACGTTGAATTGGCACACTTGACCATTCCAGAAAAATTGCCGATTTGCCGTACACAATACAACACCATGCTAACAGGTACAAGAATGAGTATTTCTCATAGCAAGATCTGGGAAGTTCTTTGAGAATGGCAAGCCTGCTTTCGGGCCCCGGGGACTCCTACGGCGATTAGAGAGTGCCGGAACCATGAAATTCGAGGAAGTCTTCGAGATGAGATCACTGCAGGTATCCCTGAGAACGCTCACGGTAGGATGTTAGATACATTGGTTAGACATGAATGCTTTGGTACGCTCCAACCGGCTCCATGCACCCAATAAGCCCTTGTCTTATGGAAGAACCAATTCAAGCTTATGATTGTGGTTCAAAGTCCATCGGGCTCTGAAGGGTGCCAATACGTTCCATCCCGGCACCAACACCGTCCACCAATACCAAAGCCATCTCGGCCATTGATCGTACTACAATCTGTCTCAGCCGATGGATGAGCTCCATGGTTTTACAGCTACCTTCTCAGCCTTTCTTCAGGGATTCGTCCAGTTCCAAACTCGAGTCCTGCAATGACCACAAAAAGAGGACAAAACAAGTGAACAGCTGACCAGCCCACAGAAACAACAGCCGTTGCTTGTCTGCTAAGTCTAGACCTTCGCGGTTACCTCGGATAAACAAGACCATCGACTCTACAAACCCAAGAAAGACCCATCCGACTAGCGATGAATCAGTCTCGTTGATGCAATGAGTGTTGCGAGTCGCGAGTGAACTAACTGATTTTCTTGAATCGCACGCCAGTTGTGCAGGCAACGTAGAGCAGGTAGAGCGTTGTGATGAGGCTTGTTAGAAAAAGCCCTGCTACACCATCAGTTGCCAGTCTTTGCTATACGCATCAAACAACTTCTGACAGGTTTGGACTCACAATCGTCAGCTTCAGTTCGAGCGACCCACTCAAGATAGCGCCAACATAGGCGCATGTCTACCATCGTGTGCAGGTACCGTAGGGATCTCTCCGCCGAAGGGAGTTTGCAGCCCTAAGGAAGTATCACTGCAGTTGATACCGAGAACCCCCGGACACTAAGTATTGAAAAGTCTGACTGAGCTTCTTTCGATCGATGTACGCTGATCCTTCGGGCGAGTGCCCCGTTGCGGCATGAACCTGCCCCGCATGCCGATTAGCCGGGTGTGAGATCAGGTCCCGTTTTCTCAATATGACCGGAAGGATTTAAACCTGACAGGGACTTTCGACGCATTCCTTCCCGGTGGGCCAATACGAGACCCTCGATAATCTTGGCAGAGAATTTGACTCTAATCATCTAGCCTCATAGACTGCGGAGCTCTTCCTTACTATCAACATGATAAAGCCAGATTCAGCTACAGAGCTTCGAAGCTCTTTCGATTAACAACAACCTGTTCATTTTCCTAGATATTGAGTTGGCCAAGCTCGAAACTAATGTCACCGCCTAGCTTTGTGGAACGAAAACGACGGTATTTGAGGTCGTGGACACCATGAACCTAGCGGATAACATGTCGAACTGCCTAGGGTCATTCGGATCACGGCTCGTGCCTTTCCATAATATGCTTACATCGACCCACTACATCTGTGGGCACCCCATCTACTTTAGCCTCGTAGGGCCTCAGCGATGGATCCTCGGAGGGACTTTGGTGTTAGGGCCCGATTGCTTATTTGAAGATTTCCGTATCTGGAAGGCGGTTGTCATGAATTCGGTTGCCTAGCATCGGCGTGGGCCGAAAACGCGAGATCGTGAATCAGTTCTCTCAACCAGAGTGCTACGCATGAACGTGCGGACATGAGCTTTTTGCGCAGGTGCCTGCAGATGCCCTCAGACAACGTGATGGGAGCACTCTGCTCAACCAGAAAAATACGACGGCTTGCCTGTGAATGCTATTACACAGTCATTGCTATCGTACTTTATCTCCGTAGTCACACCCTGTCTAGACGAAATACAAGCTTTCAGCTTCACGTGCCATGGCGAGAAAGTCTAGGTGTTCAGCGGTTGAGATATAAGACGAGCCCAACCAGACGCCTGAACATCAAATTTGACGCTCAAAGAAGGAACAGGTCGACAACATCGGCGACATGTGCAAACATGCAGCCACTGGTTAGTGACACGGATAACGATTCATGAGGTAAGTACTGTATGTAAGAGGGAACATGATGACCAGCAAGTAAAAGCTGGAAGCTTGCATGTAGCTTTGACTGTAACTACATGTAGATAAGTATGAGTATGGCCCGCACGGTGTCACGTGTGGTACCCAACCCGTTGGCCGGTGACAAAGTCTGCATCCACATCGAATCCGAAGAAAACAGTTTAGCTAGGCCCGCCTTCTACGAGAGGAACTCTTGACGAAGAACAAGAAGATGTCGTTCTCGGCAAGTACATATACCACAAATTTCAGCGCCTAGATGCCCGAAGCTTCTTAGAGTGGTAGGTAGTCACATACACATCACTGATCATGCGTAGATAAAGTCCACTCAAGAGACGATGAGAATTATTCCCGTCGGCGTTCTGGGATTGAAGTCCGTGGTAGTAGTAGTCTATCTCAGGCAAACTAAACTTTTGGTATAATAAAGTATGCTACGCTGTTAAAAGAATGATTTCTGTTTACAGGTACGAAGCGTCAACCCACCACTCCTTCTTGAACCCCTCGCCGAGAAGTTCGACGTCCTGAACAGCCTTGGTAAGCGTGGAGCTGAAGTTAGCCCTGACACCTGCCGCACCGGGACCCGTGTTCTCAAACTCCTTGAAGTAGACATTGGCCGTGCTCTGCGTCTTGTCCCAGATAGACCAGCCAATCGGCGCAACGACATCGCTCATCTCGCTGTGCTGGAAGACGACACGGGAGAACGGTCTCCACGGACGACCGAGGGTGACAGAGGCAGTTCCGCTGGTGCCAGTGATGTTGGCCTTGTTGAAGACGTAGAATGAAGTGTTGTTGGCTGCATCGCGGCCGTTCGCGGTGATGTAGCCTTTTCCGATGGTCTGAATGTCGCACTTCTCGAACCAGGCTGCGGCGCGCAGTCCAAAGATGAAATCGACGGCGCCGTTGATGAGGGTCTTTGCGTAGATCTGTCTACCCTCGTTGGCGTAGACGGTGTCCTGGTATCCGGTAATCTTGCAAGCATAGAAGCCGAGATTGGTCTTCTGTGCGCTGACAGCCAGCGCCATGCCATTCTTATCGGCCTGACCAAAAGTGTTGGCAATGTTGAGGTTGTAAATCTTGATGTTATCTCCCCAGAGGCGGAGAGTGGCGGTCTGGTCGTTGCTAGTGAGGTTGGCCATGGTGCGGGAGAGGTTGTTTGTGAGGGTGGCCTGATTATCGGCGTAGTCGCGGGAGTCGCAAGTGTATCCTTGGATGACGAGGTTGCCGAGGTAGTTGGGGATGCGGACCTGCTCGGTGTAGGTGCCGGGCATGATGAAGATGCTCTGATCGTCGGTGACGTTCTTCAGTGCGGCGACGGCGCTGTTAAGCGTGGGGTAGCTGTTAGGTTGCTTGCCGGAAGCATCGACGACCAGCGAGTTGGAAGAAGGGCGAGTTCTGGCGAACTTGCCATCGCAGTTCTTTCCACCGAGGCCGACGTCGAGGGAAACCTCAGCCGGAGCTGCGACGACTGCCACGGCGAATGTAAGAAGTTGGAGAAACGCAACCATCATGAATGAGTGTAAAGAAGGTAAAGACAGAATAGAGTGGGCAGCGACGCTGTAACCTCAAAACATGGGGAAAGCCGCAGTGTATTTATTCACCAAGTAACTCTGGAAAACCCAGAACCGAAGCTCTGGGACAGATACCTTTTCCCTGGTCTGCTGGTCTTTCCAAAGACCTCGTCCTTGCGCTCTAGTCGATTGCGTTCATCTGAAGGCCTTCGATAGGGTTACATCCAATTACACCAGCGGGACCACGGCACTTGGTGCAGGGAAGGGCTTGCATGCGGAGTGCAGGACGGAGACTTCAGATCGAACATTCCTCCAATGGCGTCTCCCGTGTCACTCGAAAGCTGCCAAGCACCCTTATTTAGTTTCCTTTCCTCCCGGGGCTCGTTGCGGCTCTTGGCTAACTAATCCTGAGGGGATCACGAGTCAAGCTTTAGGAGGTGGCCAAGCTCCAAAATTATTTCTTTATTGGTGGATGTCCGCGGGTAAACGCTCTAGTGTTGCGCCACGTTTTCGAGATTTACCGCCTCGCTTCGAGTCTTTGACGGTGAACAGCAACAAACAAGATGCCAGTTTTGTTGTTTACCCCTCGTGTTGCTCACCGTGCAGTTATTGAGACTAGGCCCAAAGTGCATTGCTCTGCAGCTCGGTTCAATGCTCGCAAACAGAAACCTCTCAGCAAGGTTTTTGCTATTTAAACGTTGGGCAGGTTTTCTCCAAGCTCGGTTTACCCTGCGGAAGGCGTGTGGTGCGGCCGCCCGCCGCGCAGATTCTCGGAAATGCGCAGTCGAACCAGTTTGCAAAGTTTATTTGATTATCACTTCCAAGGACTGGCACTGTTTTCTGATTCTTTCAGGGATAGTATCACCAACATTGTTCAAAGATGCCTTGGCGGACAGACCGGCAGCCGGTGGATACTATCTGAAACTCCCCTCAATTTGCACAAACAGATCGACATGGAGTTGACTCGATTATAGTACTCACGGCCTTTGAGTTTGCGTAGTAGTTTACCTGGTCAGCCCCTGAGAATAAACAACCTGGGCTGCGTTGTCAACCGCCGCTTGAGTGAAAATTGATTACCTGAACAGCAAAGACAAAGAAATGGCAATTTCCAATCGCAAACTCTATGAGAGGCGGTCAATGGAGACCAACTACAAGCGTCTAGCTCTTGCCCGACAAGCATTCAATATACGCGGGCCTTGTATCTTTCGTATTGAGGCTCTGATCTAGCCAACGACTCTAGCCTGCAGCATGCAATTAAATCTCCTTTTGGTAATCCCTTCCCCGGGCCCGACGCGCCGGGGATTATCGCCAGTTCCTATCCGGGGCCGCTGTAACCCTATCTCCCCGTCCCCAAATCAAGCCACGTAACAGTTAATATGTGTCGGTATTCTGGGTGCCGTGACTGACCACTTGACGGAACTACGGCCTGGCAGGCGATCCGGACAACGGCTCAAACTCGTTTGTCCCAGCCCGTTGGACACTCGGCAACGGGAACACTACACTAATGGGAGACACCATTCTCCCAGGCCGCCTTCTCCTCGCCATTCTCCGCCGCGATCTTGACCTATTCACATCCCACGATACTCGTGACCCGAGCTCACTCTCCGCGAAGCCGACATCGCTCAGGTTATCCAATTCCTCCAGCTCTCGCTCCACCCCGGGCGGCGGCTCCACCTTGAAAACGGCCTGAATGTCTCCGTGCGGGTTGAATCCACTGAAGCTCCAGTTCAGCAAAGACTGCGACCGTGCGCGACGGGGGTGAGCGAGGCGGCGGCGTTCCAGAGCGCTAATGATGAGGAGCGCTGGCGCGTTCAATATTCGGATGACAGCGATGTTGAGATCATGGAACGACCGCGGGCTGAGAACAGACTTAAGCGGGAGGAGAATCGCGATGGCCATCAAGTTGAACGGTGGGGGGTAAGCAAAGATTGAGTCGCTTTTCACACCGGCGAAGGTGAGTACAGCTCGTCGAAATTGGATCTCCGCAGGCGCGTCAGCGATGAGCTTTGAGAAGGTATTACTCAACAGCGCGACCAGGATCGTGAGGAAGAGGATATTGCCAAGAAATGCAAATGCAATCATCAGAGCTGGCCCCAGAATGGGGTGGAACTCATCAGAGCGGTCAATCCCAGTGCCATCCAAGCCGAACCACGTCCAGATGAGCCACTTGCAGGTATCGTACCAGTTCAAGGCAGGTTGACCGCTTCCGCTGGTCGCCGTTTCGTTGCTACCGATCAGCCATTGCAGGGACAGGAAGAAACCCATGAAGCACCATATTGAGATGAAGGTTAGGCGGGTGAAATCCTTCATCATGGCGTGCATGGCGATGAAAACAATATTGTCCGGCATGATCGTAAAGGCCACGCGGGTAAGTAGTACAGGAGCTGCCAAGCAGAGAATATGCACCCCGTAGCCGTCAGCGATGACGCCACCATACGCCAAGACGTCATACAACCGAGCGAAGATGTAGCAGCTGAATATGAAGCTGAACGTGATATCAAGAAAAGACCACAGAGTCTGTGAGTGGACTGCCCAGCCATGCTCAATGATTGCCGCGAACTCGTTAAGAGTCCACCCGGCCGTGTAGACGGCAAACAGACATTCCCATCCACTGATCGTAGGGCTACTCCGGTATACCATTGTCAAGAGATATAGGCCGACGAGGGTGACGAACTGGAATAGCTCAGTCACCTGTCTGATCCACGGTACGATGAGGCGTCTATCGTCTAGTAACGGTGCCCTATGTGGCTCGTATAGCGAAACCGAGGCATACTCGTAATGATCCGGGAGGATGTCGACAAACGACAGGGGGGTATAAGTGACGACCCCTTGCCAAACCGCGTCGACGAGCCTTTGGCAGGCTGAAGAACTCAGGAAGAGTTTGCTTTCGGAAATGATGGCCAGTTCCAAAGTCGTGAGCTTTCTCTCATGGCCGTCTCGGCGCTGAATAGGCCACTGGGCTTGCCTGCATTCGCTCTCAACTTCCTCGGGAGCACCTTGGAATGGGTCGAACCCTTCGACGAGGATATGTGCCAGGATGAGTAAGCCTATCTGGCCTGGGTGGTCTTCGTGATATCGACGTAGTACTCGACTTGCGACGAGTTCGCAGAGAGTCGCACGCGCAACATTAACAGTATGATGAGCGGTGCTAATGTGTTGTCTGAGAAACTGAATCCGATTGGCGAGGAGGCAGTACACTTTTACGGATCAGCTCTGCCGTCTTGGCTAGATCAAAGTTTACAAGCAATAAACATACCGACAGTTGGATCGTCGGGATCGTATAGGCGATCTACCAGAGGTCGGACAACCAATGAGTTCATCCTAGGCTCACGGAGCTGATCTAGGGTGTACGGGTCATCTGGGATTATTGTTAGTGGAAATCGGCAATTGAGATAACGGCTACTCATACCAATGCTTGCAAGTACAAGTCGCCTGATTCTGTTTTTTTTTTCTCCATCAGCTACGGGTATCCCGATATGGGGGCAGCAAAAACCCTCAAACTTACCGGTGTATCGTAAAATACACGGAGGGCGGCACCTCAGTGCTCACGCTCACGCTGGCGGTGGCGCTGACAGAGACATGCTGCTCTGCCTCTAAATCGGGCTCGTCGTTGGCGTTGGCGGCACGCGTCATCGAATCTCCATCACCCCATGGTGACAGTGGTCGAGTCCAGTCAATCAAATCCGGGGTTCGGGGGCCCTCTCCTTCTTCCATCTGACGTTGGGGGAGTTGTAATGATGAGAGAACGTCTTGTTTACAGTGCTCAGTCACACTAAGGCCGTCCGGGACACCCTCTTCGTTATGTTTCCTGTTTGCCCAGCCACCCACAATCCCAGCCGATGCAGCTCCCCGCGTTGGTCCCAAGCTGTCGTGTTAAAGATCAGTGGTCTGCATGTTGTCGACTTGTTCAAAGACGAATGTGAAAATGTCGCATGCAATTATGCGCTCGGGCTGCCTCCCAGTGAGGGGTTTATCTACACATGTCCCCTGACTCGATCTGACTTAACACTAACGCGATCCGATCAGCAGCTTGCACTGCCACGCTCGTGCCGCCTGACGTAAATGGGATAAACGCCGCGGCATTTCTGGTTGACCGACAACTCTAAATTTCTTCACCGAGGTGAGGCGCTTTAAGCTTAGATAACCCGGATGAGATGAGATCAGATGTCTCACCACGTGCTCACCCTCAACAACACCCATCTTTCCAGCAAGCCACACACGGCTAGATAGGTGATTCATCAACATTACGCATGGACTTTCATACACAGGCCGTTGGCACACGATCATAAGGCACATAATGAACTCCTAGTCCTCAAGGGTCACGACGAGCTCTTACATTACAAGACCAAAAAGGTGACCTGCAACCTCTTCAGGCCGTAGCGCAAAAGGTATTTGAAAGGGACGAGACTCGAACTCGCGCGGGTTGCCCCACCAGGAAACAGATGTTAAGCTGACCTTAACCTGGCGCCATAACCAACTCGGCCACCCTTCCATGATTTCATGGTCGAAGAACCTGTGATTGTTGAGGTTGACGGCGAAAATTTGTGAATATGGAGCTTGAGGTATCAGGGCAAGCCCTCAGATATGCTGATTTGACGATGCTCGTGGAAGCGGAGATGGGTTTGCTGTAACCCTGTCCCTAGCCCGTAGTGCTGTGGATACTTACCTACTCAGTAAAACTACTGGTTAGCCCCCAAAGGTACTCCGCAACAAGATACGTCTAGCTAATCGCTTGAAGTCTATATCGGTACGGCTCACTACTCACTTGTTCTTTTGAGAAGCCTTGACTGGGGCTACAGTTGGTGTTTTGCATCACTGAGATCTACATGTCGGGTGTGGATCAGACGCCCTAGGTTGGGTGTTAAGGATGCAAATCATGTAATAGTCACGGACGTTTAAGGCCGTGCCTATTTCCCGCCTGCTCATTATAGCTTTACGCTTGATGTTTACCTATGAAAAGCTTCCAAAGTGACTTGGACCGTTCTGTCAATGGCAGTTGGTAGAGTACAAGAGTGACTTCATTTTACAGCAAAGGCTCAGACAGCGTTGACTTTGGCACGGCTTGAGGGCATCATGCGCCAAATCAGACAGTAACGATAGGTGACTCTTCCTAGAGTCACTGAAGACTACGTTTGACGATGTTGCCTATTTTACTTGAAAAGAAAAACACAAAGCATTTAAAGAGTGGCTGAAAAAATCGAATAGAACCCCAAGCTGCAGGTGTGCAAGTTCTGCACGTAGAATTGCAAGTATTAGTTTACCAACAAAGTACCCAGTGTAAGTAACCTTGCCCAAAGTTCATGGAAAGACATGAGATCAGACCTCATTGATTTGAATTATTTCCTTTGTCCAAGCCTCGGCGCCTGCAGGCTGGTTTTTTAGTGAGGGCTGCTGCCTCGAGATTCATGTAATCATGGACTTGAACTCAATCACTGAAAGGAACCTCTACGCTCAAGTGCCCTCATCTCGTTGAAAACCACCATTCGTAGGTAGGATACTACTAATTCCCAAGGAGCTCATCAAGCCAATTGGCTGCCATCGAAAAAGGGTATTGGTGACTGATATCATGAGACAAGATAAGGGAGTGATCGGCAATAAGGGTACAAGTAGACAATGGACATAGTATGATCCTTCGGGTAGTAGTAGGGCGTGTCGGCTAACGATGCCGGAGTTGTTGGTTGCAGCCCGGACATTCGAATTTGATAAGATACAACTTGCTGCACGCTCAAGATAAGATATGGCTGATATGCAACTTTCCCCGATGCATGCTCCAATCACAAGGATGCCCCCATTGAGCTGCAGGGTGCATAATCACCCCCATTCTCGGCGCAAGAGTGGGTGAAGATGAGCACCTTATATCAAGCCTCCAAGGAAGCAATTTGGAGGTCATACCAGTCGGTGTTTGGTCTTACCAGACGTATTGCGCACATCCGAAGGTGGCAGGGGCACTATCGCACTTCAGAAACACATTGAGCTTACCGTCCAATATCGACAACAATGGCGATCGAAAGCGAAACACCAGCCAAATCTGACGAGGACCTTAAGCGCGAATCCTCTGATGACGTCGAGGCCTCTTCACTGCATTCCCCCCAGAATGGCAGCAGCGTGGTGGTTGACCCTGAAGGGGAGCGATCTTATGGTAAGCTCTTGTCAAGGACATCATCGTTTGGGTTGACGCTGACATTATGCCGCTTTTAGTGAGAAAGCTTGACTTCTATCTGTTGCCGTATCTCTCTCTTATGTACTTCTTCAATGCGGTCGACCGCTCCAACTTGGGCAACGCCAAAACCGACGGAATTGAGAAAGATCTCAACTTCAAAGGGAACGAGTACAGTCTGCTCATTCTTCTCTTCTACATCCCTTTCGGAACCTTGGATCTTCCGCTCAATCTCCTCACAAAGAAGTTCTCTGCAAGATGGGTCTTACCGACGCTGATGGTGGTCTGGGGCGGCATCGCAACCGTCCAAATCGCATCGAAGAACTTCGCTGGGATCCTGGTACTCCGACTAATTCTCGGCGCATGCGAAGCCGGCTTCTTCGCCGGCGTAGTATTCTACTTCACATTATTCTACAAGCGATCCGAGCTCGGCTTTCGCGTCGCCATCTTCTTCGGCAGCGCTCTCCTAGCCGCAGCCTTCAGCGGCCTCATTTCCTATGGTGTCTTCCAGATCGAAGGCACTAAACTCCAAGGCTGGCAATGGCTTATGCTCATTGAAGGCGTTCTGACCGTACTCGTCGGTGTCGTAGCCTTTTGGTGGCTGCCAGCTTCTCCAGCAACCGCCTGGTTTCTCAACGACAGAGAAAAGGCCGCAGCTCTAGCCAGGACCCTTCGCGATGGCTCCAATAAAGTGGACTCCAAGTTTGACTGGAAAGAGTGTTTTATGCTATGGAAGGATTGGAAATTTGTTTTCTGGCTTTCCATCGCGTTCAACTATCCCGTCGCCTTTGCCACGACGTCCAACTTTTTGCCCCAGATTGTACAGCGTCTCGGCTACAGCGTCGTCAAAACGAATCTCTGGACCGTTGCCCCAAACGCTGTTGGTTTTGTGGTACTTCTGGCAACAGCATACTCCTCCGACTACTTCCACGAACGGACGTTTCACATCGTCGGTGCCTTGGCAACCTCTTTAGTCGGCATGGTCATTCTCATCGCAATCGACGTTTTGGAAAACCGTGAACTGGCTTACTTTGCCTGCTTCCTCATGGCTGCAGGGGCGTATACACCTTCATGCCTGGTTCAATCATGGCACAATAACAACAATTTGAACGAGAACAGCCGCGCTGCCACGACAGGTTTGCTTGTAGGTCTGGGTAACTTTGCTGGAATCTTATCGGCTGCAACATTCCGGACCGAATATGCACCCAAGTACATTCCTACTCTCATTGTTACCTGCTGCTGCAACGTGTTGGCGATGGCATCGGCGTTGATCCTCGGCGGCTGGATGAAATTGGAGAACCGGCGAAGGAACAAGGCCCAGGGTGTCAACCTTCAAGCTCAGGATGTCGATACATCAGAGCTGCATGACGGCGAGAAATCGCCCAAATTTCGATTTTTCACTTGAAGTAGTGCTGCTGTAGACTTTTCATTACTAGCAGAAAAAGCCAACCTCAAATCCATTGATCCTTCAATAATATTCACAATTGTAGGCCGAGACCCATCTCCTTAAAGTCTGTCAATATTCTGATATCCCACACGTCAGGTGGATTGACATGGCAATTTGAGCTGATGAGGCCATCCAGGCGTTGAACACAATCATGGGCATGAGCTCTTTACCACGTTCTGGAAAGTGATGGTCAGAGGATCATCATCCTACCTATCGGCAAAGATCCGATTAACTATTCCCCCAACGGACTTGAGCTAACGTGCGGGATTTCGCGAATGGGGGAACATTAGCCAGCGGGGAAAATCCACTTGTAAGCCGCCGTTACGAATTACGACAAGGTCGCAAACCCCGGATTCATCCGGCTGGCCTATCGGGCCTGCATATCAAAACTGGAGACAGCCGGCCGACCAGATAGGAGAATGTAAGTTTATCGTGGACTTTGGGCTCGGTACAATGTGAGGTGCATTTATCTTTATGCTCTCTGGACAGGTCTTTGTCTTCAACATCATTCTCCTTATCTTCATCGTCATCCTATCAGCAATCATGGCCGTACTCAATATCGTCGAAGCCTCAATCGAAGAATTACAGAATGCTTTGAACAGCGGTTCAATTACCAGCGTCGAGCTTGTAACGCGTTTGCTTCGCCGGATCAGCACTTACGACTGTCGAGGCCCTACCCTAAATTCGATTCCGATCCTTAACAATGACCTTTTCGAACAAGCTGCCAAGTCTGATGACCGAAGGGCATCTGGCGAGAAAGTCAGGCCCCTGGAAGGGATACCTTATACGGTCAAAGACAGCTACAAAGTCAAAGGAATGGTAGCCGCTGCAGGATCTCCTGCTTTCGAACATCTAATTTCCAACGAAGACGCTTTTCTTGTGAAGCTCATTCAAGATGCTGGCGGGGTGCTCATTGGCCGGACAAACATGCCTGCAATGGCTTGCGGCGGCATGCAGAGGGGCATCTGGGGAAGGGCCGAGAATCCTTACAACCCAGACTATCTGGCTGCAGCATTTGCTTCAGGTTCATCCAACGGATCGGCTGTTTCTACAGCAGCATCGTTCGCAGCTTTTGGGCTTGGAGGCGAGACGGTCTCATCTGGCAGATCGCCTGCTTCCAACAATGCCCTTATCGCTTACACTCCCTCGAGGACCTTTCTATCAAATCGCGGCAGTTGGCCTTTGTATCCAACATGCGACGTACCAGTGCCTCATACAAGAAGCATGAAGGATATGTTAACTCTTCTGGATGTTATTACTGCACCTGATCCAGTTGCCAAAGGCGATCTCTGGCGAGAGCAGAGAAGCGTCCAGTTACCGCAATCTTGGGAGGACCGGCCTGAGAGCTTCAAAACCCTTGGCTCGTCAGACTCATTGTCTGGACTAGTTATTGCTGTGCCAGAAATCTTCCTTGGTGGACCGGTTCCCGAAGGAGCAAAGCCTATTCAGACGAGCCCGGCAGTTGTTGAATTGTGGAAGCAAGCACGAAAGGATCTTGAGTCACTTGGCGCGAAGATTGTCATGGTTTCCGACTTTCCGCCTTTGACAGCTTACGAAAATGATAACCTTCTGCCGGAGAGATGTCCGCGAAGGCCGGCGGACTGGCATGCTACTGAGAGAGGAGCATTAGTAGCACATACTTGGAACAACTTCCTTCGAGACTTCAATGATTCAAAGCTCCCGGATATCTCTGCAGTGGACGCATCGAGGATCTATCCAGACAGTATGAGGACTGGGCCGGAATTACAACACTTCGAGAAGCCTAACGCGATTCAGTACCATCGGCTGGCCGAATACGCCAGCAAAGGGAGTATTTTTGATGTAGAAGGTCTGGATCAAGCTCTCAAAGCTTTAGAGGGCATGCGAAAGGTTCTTCTTGAGGACTGGCTCACGGAAGTCGGCTGCGATTGCGTTGTCTTTCCCGCTGCTGGCGATGTGGGACCTGCCAACGCAGACTCAGACTTTGAGGGGGCATCGCTGGCTTGGCAGAATGGCGTCCACTACAGCAACGGAAACAGAGCCATTCGACATCTCGGCATACCTACCGTCTCAGTTCCTATGGGCATCCTGAGAGACAAGCGTGTGCCCATGAACCTCACGTTCGCTGGCAGAGCTTATGATGATGTCCAACTTCTGAGATGGGCGAACGCTTTCGAAATAAGAACAAAACATCGCAGTCCTCCACTACATACGCCATATCTTGAATCTGATCTTGTTCAACTTTCAAACAACAAGAAGAACAAATCGCCGAGGCCAAAGCTAATTATAAGCACGTTCACGACGGTGCCAGCATCTGATGACACTAACCCGCTGTTGGCTGATATTCTTGTCGAAGGATCCGTGACAATGAGTGCGCCAATGGAAGATTTGCCGGAAATTGAGATTACCATTGACGCACAAACACTTCATCCAAGTTGCATCGACATATAGAGACAGTCCCAGTCTGTAGAGGGACAGTTGGTATTCTCATTCAGGCTCAGAAAGAAAACTTCAAAGCCTCCCACAAAACAGGGTTCAGACATGACGCTGGCTCCAGTTGCTCGAGACAAGATTATGGTGGTGGTTCTAGCAAAGGCTCCAGCAAAGGGTAGCCCATCAGGCTGGATGGGGCTGATTTAGATGCACCTCCAGCAAATGCTCGCAGAATCGAGCGTGGCTAGATATGATAGATCTCACAGTTCTGACAATGCAGCAACCATGCACTGTTTTCAAATTAGTTTGCGTATTTAATCCAAGTGATGATTGAAAGGCGCTTGGTTTGGGGCCATATTGTTCTATTTAGGCAAAGCCCTAGCCCCAGTAAGGTAAGTAGATGAAACCTCTTTCCTACACAGTGATTGTTGCGCCGTGTACTTGACAGCACAATGATGAGTTTACACCTCAGCTTCTAAGACGTTTGTTAGATTAGAATAGACGGCCATGTCAGAAGGGAAACACGATGAATTCTACAATGTTGAGATGCTTTGCGTCTACCGCCTACGGGTACGAACCCCTACGGGTACAGACCAATAGCCCTACCTCAGTGTCAATCATTTCTTACCAAACAAGCAGATTACCTTTCACCCTTTTTCCTCGTCATGATATACTTTCGATCGACGTGCTTCTCTGAAGCCGCTCTTCACTGACTTGCTGTATCTCCTAGACCGCGACTACTCTCAGAATTTCAGCAAAGCGATCTGAAGATATTGGCGTCGGTTGAAACTTCTCTTTGCCATCTCTGACTAGTCTGTGCAGTTCTGCTTCAGAATACTATTCTTTCCTGTGCTTCTTGGGATTTAGATCTTCGGATGGCCAAGGTTGTGTGCCATCGCTGCCTATGTAGCCAACCAGCTGTGGTCGTCGGTTTGCCAGGGTTGAGGAGTTTGGAATGAAGTCATGTTCGCCAGTGGTGTACCCATGTGCTGTGCGAAACATTGTATCATTTACCTTGTACGACGTGGTCACATGCCATCTATCCGTTCTGTAAGCAGGCTTACCACTTGGCCGAAAGCCGGCTTTGGTTGTTTTGTGCAAATGAGACCTAAACCAAAGAAAGCAGTGATGAGCAAAGGTTTAAATCAGTGGTAGACAATTCTGAAGTAAAAATGCACATACCTGATGAGAAGAGATCGCACTTGATTTTGATTCAAGAGTGCTGTCTTCCAGTGAGCTTTGAGTAAATCAAGAGGATGTTGACTATTCAAAAGACCCGGTTTGTTGATTTTCCAGATCACTTCAACATATCCCTTGGGAGGACTGATACCTGACACTGTGTTGGTTTTCTTTTGGTCTTAAATTTGTGGTGTTTGTAGCCTGGCTGCTGCAATTACCGTTGGTGGAGTGTCGATGTGCGTGATGCTCTATAATAAGAAAGTACTTGGAACTACGAGCAATAATTGAGACTGATAGTTATTCTTCAGTATCATCTGTATTCCGTAGAGACTAAGAAAGGCTCTTCTAGGATAGTAAGGTAGTCCTGAAATGCTAATAAAGATGATCGATCGGAATTAGAGACCACTAAGTTTCATATCCAAGAAGATGAAAGAAGGTCTCTGGCTTGCCGACAACGACTCCTTCTCACGCCTTCTGTATAGAATCTGTAGCTAAATTTTCATTGTTACATTTCAGATAATCACAAATGCAGTGCCTTTCAGTGAGGACGATGTTGTGGTAGATGTTTTGTATACATGTATTGATGATAACCCATTCATAAATCGGCCACCAGAAGTCGCATTCGTCCTTTTGTTTCGCTAATATCTTGAAACTTAGAGTGTCTTACTTTGATCGGTCTAACCACCCAGATTGAAAGCCACCTAATGCAGTCCGTTGACCACAGTGCTTTGCCCTGCCTTATCTTTCTACGTGAGAGATTGCTCCTTGTTTCTATTTTCACACATTCACACCCGCGCTTTCAGTCCATTGTGCTAAAGATATAGAATAACGCAGGGGCCTTAGGCCTAGAGATATTAGCAGCAACAAACAGTCCGTCTTTGTGCCCGCTTTGACAGTATTATCACGCACATGTTTGAGGTCGGCACTCCTTGTCGTAGTCATTCTCTTGCCTTCGGTCACTTTACTTGGAATCTATGTCATAAACCCCAGGACACCCGTTCATGTTGTTCGCTTCAATCGCTTGCCAGTGTTCATCTTTTATGTCTACTTTACCCATTCTACCACTGAGAAAATATTCAACGACAAAATCGCATTCTCCAAACTTTGACATCAAGCTTTTCGACATGGGGCTCGTATGGGACCTCTTCCACCTCAATCGAGAATCTAAAACTGCAGTCATCAAGTACATCAAAGCCGTCGTAGCTGAGCAACAAAGTCAACCGTTGACCGAAGAACGACGAGACAATCTTTCGTATCAGTACTGGGACAATGAGGAGCCTGAAGAGCCGTACATGGCCTACGAAGAGGGTATGTTTCATCCTGTTCAACTTGGCGATCAGCTTGGAAATGGCAAGTACATTATTGTGAACAAACTTGGAGACGGCTCCTTCTCCACAGTGTGGCTTGCACATAGCACCAAGACAGGAAAGAAGGTTGCTGTGAAGATCTGTGCCTCGGAAAGTGAGAGTTCATCGAAGGGTGACGAGATGAGAATCTCAAGGATGCTTCGAGACGACTCGTCCCATCCTGGCCATCGCGTTATAGGCTACTACAACGACATTTTTCTTCACCATGGGCCCAATGGTACCCACGAATGTCTTGTTAGCGAGCCAACACGTGCCACGATAGCGGAGAGCAAATTCAGAGGATTCGTATTCCCTACTGAGATTGCACGAGCTTTGGCGGCACAACTGGTGCTCGGGGTTGCATACATTCACTCAAAGCATATTGTGCATGGTGGTAAGTTCTCAGTTCCAATCTAACACGTCAAATACACATAAGGCTGACCATGAGGATATTGCTGAAGATCTCCACGGAGGGAATATGATGCTAGCTATGCCGGCTGGCGAGTTCGCTTGCCTGACAGTGAAAGAAATCTACGAGAAATACGGGAAACCAATTATCTTGCCGATGGATCTTTGTGTGGAGGCTACCGATTTCCATGAAGAATACCCTCTGCCAAAGAACGCGCCCCCATACATGCTATGGAAGATGTTTCTCACGCAGGACTGTGACGACCTGGAACTGTCGGAAGCACGGGCACAGATCAAGGATTTTGGTGAATCATGGCAACCGGAGCTAGTGACGCGGTACGAACTCAACACGCCCGAGCCATATCGGGCCCCCGAATCGATGATCGCCAAGAAGCTGCAATTGCCCATCAGCTATCCCGCTGATGTCTGGGCACTGGGATGCTTTGTCTTCGAGCTTTACGGCAGGATGGACATCTTCGACACATACTTTCCTGGTTACGATGGTGTCTTTGCCACAATGGTCCATTGTATGGGCAAACCCCCGGCATCGTGGTGGGACGCCTGGGAAAAGCGCGAGAAGTACATTGACGATAATTGCAACTACGTCAGAAATGGCAAGTCGGATCCGACACCTGCGGAGCCGGACACAATCAAACTACGAGTGCTGGAGATCCCTGACCACAGAGCCATGGACAGGTTTCCTGAAGAGAAGACTTTTGTGCCTGAGGAGGAGTTACAGGACCTGGCAGCGATGTTGATGCGGATCTTCCGTTGGGAGCCCGAAGACAGGGTGACAGCAGAAGAGCTAATCAGCGACCCATGGATGCAGAAATGGGGCATTCCGGCGAAGGAAGCCATGGAGGTGGCTTACGAGAAGAGGCGCAAGGAGCACGAGAAGCCCCCGTTCTTGTCGAAGTCGGTGGCCGTTGGTTTAGCGGTCGGCGCTTTTGACAGACTGGCCTACATTCTGTCTCTATTGTCTCCAACTTCTTGGTGGCGCAATCTGAAGTGGGCTTTGGGGGCATGAGACGCTCGGCTTGTGTTTATCTTCTGTGCCGTGTCTTGGCGAGAGGAAATTTGGCAGAAATGAAGGGAAACGGTTGGAGTGCTGGCGTTACCTGTGGGTACGGATCATTTGTAAATCGCATTAAGATTGCACATGCGGATGCCATCCCATTGGCGTACTTGGTCACAAAAGATAGTGGAATACCTCTGCAACAAAACGGCGCCGCTGGCCGCTTGAAGACTTTTCAACTCAAACTCATTGTAGTCTGGAACCCACGACATATTGAATAGAAGTTTTCATCAATCAAATCAGCCACTTTGTGATTTGATCATTGTCATGGCAAGGCAAGCCTCGCGTTCAAGGGGAGTGCATTTCTAGTGCAATCTATTTGTGATTGGTGGCTTTGTTGGGGTTGAAGAGCCTAAGTATACGAAGCATGTTGCTCGAATTCGACCTCCTTGGTGAGCCGAGCGCGGAATTGCGCCGACGTAGCTCACATTAGACGCAATATGATCCGCGGTCTAGGAGCCGAGACGAACCGATCATCTCATACCCGCGAAGTTTCCTCAAACGCAAACCGAGGTCCCGGAAACGAGAGAATACCTCAAACCCCCACACTTCAGTGAAGCTACGGGAAGGCTGCATTCCTGGCGCGTGGCTTGAGGTTTGCGGGGTAATTTAATTAGTGGTAGAGCCAAGTGTTGAGGCGTGTCTTGTCAGGAACTTCTGTCAAAATGTGCACAAGCGATCCAAAACGCCACATTGCGAACTGTTGTTTTCGACGCAAAGTTGCTCTCAGCCAAACGCAGGTGTGTGGGGGAGAGCTCCGGGCATCCGGCGGCGTCCGCCTTTGGTTCCTAAGTCCGGTTGTCTCTGTCTCATCTGCATGACCCTACATCCACCTGCAGCATCCATCGGACCGAGAACATTCTAACCGGTCGTCGCAGTCGTACTCTGCTATTCAGTCCAACAGGCAACACGTTCGAGTCAACCAGGAAGACGAATTGTGACTACGCAGCAGACAATATTACTCACACTTCCTGCATCGGCGGACGGAGTGGATCAGAACCAAGTCCGACCCGGAGCCGGGGTGGAGTTGTGAAGCTACGAATGAGAATTTACGGGGCAAATTTTTAAGATTTGATGATCCCAGAGTAAGCTCGAATTCAGGCTCGGGTAACTCCCGCGAAAGCCATCCGGAGAATAAGAGTTTGCTTACGGATGCCGACTCTCCCAGGCATATGAGAGGTTCGCTTCGGATACGAGACGCCGTCTCTCGTTGATGGCCGTCAGTTGGTATTATTCAGCTTCCCACATGACGCCGATGCCCGTCCCGCGTGGCTCTAGCCCTCAAAAGGCTGCACAAAGGTGCATATTATTGGGAAGCCGCTTGCTTGCTTCGCACCAAGAGGAAACGCGGGGTTCGGGTGGGAGGTTGGGGCGACAAGCAGGGAAGCCAAGCAGCCCCAGCAAAGCAGCAAGGGATGATCAATACCCATTGCAAACCCCCATCCCTGCTCGATGCTACCGCTGCCGGTCTACTCCAACCCGGGCCTAGACTCGCGTTGGTGCCGTCCTTTTCGAGGACAGTCTGTGGAGTCGGGAGGATCACCGACCCTGTCGTGAGTGTGAGTCGTCGCGCCGAGGTCGGGCGCGAGAAAGAAAAAAAGTAACTAAGTGAGTGACCTTGCTAGACAGAAACCGTCGTGGAGGAGAAAGAATAGGTGACGAAATATAAGCTGACGGCCACCCTGAGAGATCTTCGGGTCCGTCTGGTCTCTCTTTCGCTGTACCCTTAAAGTTTCTGTTTCTCCTGCTCCATTGCCGAGTTTTGTGTCCGCGAGGCCGTCCTTGCTGGTTGGAGAGTTCTACTTTCGTCAATCTTACCAACACTCCGGGGCCATTGAGCTCAATCGACCCCCAAGATGCAGTTCGACAAGGAGAACAAGGCCGCAGAGTCGCCGTCGCGCTCCCTTGACCATGCGACAGACCTGGATCGACCGGTCTATGGCGATGATGCCCCCATCGAATGCCCCCCTCACACGACAGAGGCGAAGCTCATCACCAAGATCGACTTCCGCGTCATCCCATTCCTGTGTGTCATGTACCTTCTGGCCTTCCTCGGTAAGCTCTCCCCTGCTCTCAAGCTGCCGCGACTCGACGGCAGCCATCGCTCGAAGCCTTTGCAATTGCCTGCATACTGACCAGAAACGCAACGCACTAGATCGCGTAAATATCGCCAACGCCAATGTCTTCGGACTGTCAAAAGAGCTCGAGCTGGACGGTACACTGTACAACAACGCGCTCGTCGTCTTCTTCGTGCCATACATCCTCCTCGAGATCCCCTCCAACATCCTCCTGAAGAAGTTCAAGCCCCATGTCTGGCTCAGCATCAACA